TGTTTATGTTGTGGATTAGGACTTCTAGTGTTGTTCCTAGCTTTTCTGTAATGAATTTTATAGTCCTTGGTTTTAGTCCTAGGTCCATAATTATTTTCCTCCTATAAAACTTGTTTGGAATATAGTTGAAATTTTTTCCTTAAAAAAGAAAATCCTTAGGGAGTTCTGGTGGCCTAGTGGTAAGAAGCTGCACTGAATCCTGAAGGCACATGGTTCCAATCTACTAGATGCTCCGCTGGAGAAGGAGGGGCAAATCTCCTGTACTATTCAGTCCAATTTGACAGCACACAACAAGTAAAAAAAACACAAAACAAATACTTATTTTTATATTTTCTGTTAGGTTGTTCTAGTTTTGCTTTATCTACTAATTAGAGAATTATGTACACTGTTGTTAAATTCTTTCAGTGGTTACTTGGTTAATTTTATTATATAAACATTACGTCTGCACTGGAATAGGGTGAAGGAAAGGCCTATCTGAAAGGAATTTATTAGATTGATGTGTGACAATTAACAGTCTGGAATGTGACACAGATTACAGAGTGAATTAGAGTAGAGGGAAGGAGAAAAATGTGTATTAATGAGTGAATGAAAAACCATCATTTCTGTAAACTTTCACTAAAATCACAATCACAGAAAAAAGCTAGTCTAGTTCTTAGCTTTTCACAGATGTAAAGACTTTATGAACATTTCAATTATGATCTTTATCTGTCCTCCAATTGTCCTGCTGCTGTTGTTCAAAATAATACAATGTTTAATTTATTTCTTCAGTTTTCAATTTGTGCTTCGCTTTTTTCTTGCATCATAGACTTCTGTCCGTAAATTTCCTTTTGCTTCATATTAATCTCTCAGAATTTTCTTTTTAGTAAAGACAGACTTGGTAGAAAATTCTCTCCCTCTTTTTTTCTTTTACAATTTTAGAGGGAAACATAATTTTATTGCTATTTTCTCAAAGTTTCTGAGTCTTGAAATTTTTAAAAGATTTTTTAAAGGCAACACACACACACATACACATATTTTATAGCATATTCTACCCATTTAATTTATTTCCTATTCATTCATTGTTGTACATTTTCTTCAGTGCCCACCTCTCTCCCCCCAGTTTGCTTTTCTCTTTGAAAAGAAAAAAAGGTCTTTCATTGTTC